ACTTCTATTAACAGCTTTACTATCAAAGTAAAATGAATCGTAAATGATAGGGGGACAAAAATTGCCCAGTCGGCTAGTTATGCGAGGCTAAACACCTCTTAGGTTCTCCAATAAACGGAGGTCGTGAGAGGTTTGCGGTTGTTCGCGAAGGTCTAATCAACAGACACCTAAATTAGGAAAGGATTAAGCAGGGAAAAATTCCGTCTGCACTTAATCACGTGGAACATATAACTGGGTTTCTTCCACTTTCGCGCGTTCTGTTTGTCGAGGCGCGCATAAGGCACCAGTAAAGTATTCCAGTTGCAGGGTATTCAATAGCCCAATAAAAATACACGTTCCGAGGTACATCTACTGGGTCGCGAAAGTGCTGGAAATTGTGGCACTGGCATAGTCTGCAAAAACGCTGATATGGCGTCTAGGCACTTAATATGATCCGTTTGTTTAAAGCCAAAACGGCTTATGGGTGCATGTTTTGCAGCAACAAATGCAGAAAGCCCTTCATGGATGCTAAATGCGTACGTCCGTGCTTCTCTGGCACAGGGAAATATATTATTTAAACTGACCGAATGATGAGAAGATGGAGGTGAAGTCGGAAGAAGAATCAGCAGAAAAAAAGAGGACGGATAGAAAACAGGCAACAACGGCGAGACCCGAAGAAAAAATGGCAGAAGAGCAACTTAATCTTGTAATTCATCCCCTCACCCGTACCTGTGGTGACTTAACAGATAGGCCTGAAGGTCCCGAAGCGCGACTGCAAATTACGCAACTGCACCTACTTCAACGGGAGCTTTTTTCCCTGACACCTCGTTAAGTGCATATGTACGAGCATAAAGACACCTCTGAGTGCAATTTGAAAGTCTACGCATACGAACGCGGGAGGCCTAGTATTGACTCCAAGGAATCCGCCACTATCGGTCACAAACGCACACATGCAATACAGTTGGTTTTCCGGTCCCAGTACGCTTTATATTCGTACGAAGAGAGCGCAGGGAGATGTGTGGGGCAGGAGGTGGCGAAGAGAGGTGATCAGAAATGCGATGTGGGAAACATGAGTGGGGTAGAGAGAGAAAGAGAGTGAGAGGGAGACATAGCATGGCGCGTGCAAACACTGCGAAAAGGCCGAGAAACAATCACGCCAGGAGTCAACACCCACGATGAGATCGACGCTAGTAAACATTCGGATGCGGACGATCAAAAAACCACCGGAGTAAGTCCTACTATCTGCAATCAGTGCGGGGAGTTGCTAATTGCCGTATATGGTGAAGAAGAGACTGCATCTTTTAAATATCACACTACCTCGCGAAACCAAGACTTTTATCTCTTGTTGTGTCTGGTGATTGGTACGGGATTGAATAAAATTGTTATTTCAGGGTTCCAGTGACTATAATCTAAATCCCTCCTTGGACCTCAACTTTCCTCGCGTGTCAGTTATGTGTTTAGACTTTAAAAGGATACGGATTTAAAGCAGCGAGAACAAGTACGCTTTCAAGACTGAAACCAGATAGCGGTTGGAAAACAAGCAGACAAACGCAAATAAACGTCTGGCTCGGGAGACAGATCGGCTGAGGATACGATGTCCCATCTCAAACTGATAAATACTTCTGTAATGAAATAGCACACCCTGTTGCGTACTAAAAAAAGCAACTGTGCAGCGTCAGTGGCGTCAAGGAACAGAACCGAGTGACAGTCAGGCCCATCAGACGCAAGTACTAGTAACTAGACAGGGTAAGCAATGCAACTTAAACCAATCCCAAAGAAATTAGATGCGTTATTTAGATGCAGAAACCGGGGAAGAAAATAGCTTCAATGCTGATAGACAACAGTTAGTTTCGATACTCATCCCTATCATCGAAATTCAACATTTTGCAATTGCGGAAGGCGCCACGGGCCAGTCAGTGGATTACGTTTTTTAAGAGGCGTACGTACAGCACAAAACATAAACCATTTTTAAAATTCAGAAGATGAGCGAACGTATGCCTTCGATAAATTCTCGTCGGGCCGGTACATTTATATGGTAACGGAGTACAGCTCTATTCTGGCACACGTGGTGCGCTTCCGGACATCGGGGAGACGCCAACGGAGCCTTCCGAATGATCTACAATGTCCCGCCAAACTATCCAAAGTCTCTGGGACAGCGCCTGCTAGCAACAGCAGAAGCGACCACTATCAGGTTGATAAAGCCGGCGTTGTGTACACAAAATAACTTCCTACAAGCTCCGCATTTGGCGTGGCCCACAGTCAATTAGCAG